AGAAATATAATTTTGTGTCCTTGTAGGGCCGAACACCATCTGTGTCGAATATTAACAAAAACGTAAAATCATTTAATACTATATATTTTCGACTTCCGCTTTGGTAGCACTATAAAGAAAATAACGCTCCTTTCTAAAAGTGTCATTAAATTCAGAGTTTTTAACACACATTTACATATTTTCACGCTTTTAATATAACGTGTTTGAGGACTACAAGCGAGGAGAGAAAGACGTGTCCGAATATCGATGTTACTTTTCCTCCCTCCGATTTCGACGATCTTTGAGCCGGCGCGCGCGTTCCGTGGCAGAACACAAGTCGGCCTAGTCCCCGAACACAAGGATCGGCAGTGGCGAACGCCGTATTACATCAGACGCCGCGAGGCACATAAAGCAAGCAAGCAAACAAACACACGCGAGCCAATTCAGCGCATAGACTGTGTTGATATATTCTCATTTACCAATACAAATTGCGCTCATTTGCGAAAGCGACGAGCCGCCGCCGCCGCCCCTCCCCCCCCCTCCGTTCGCCGCGTTGGCCCACCTGAATGGGCAAACAAATAAATATGAACGAATCCATAATGTACTGCATGCATACGTGCCTGGGCGTTAGGCCGAAGCGCCGACGATGTTACCTAGTTCCGAGGACACCTTCGGTGTCTTACGCGTCGTTTTTGTTTTCGTTTGTTTGTTTAGTGCTCGTATCTGCATTCTCACGTGACCTCTGAAATATGCGAATGCGTTGTGCGATCCCTAGAAAGCAGGGCAGGGTCACTTCAGTCTGGGCGGAATGGGATTTGCAATTTGATGTGTGGGATTATACTTACAACTGAGGATCGGCTATTAATTCCGTTTCTTTCATGTCCTCTGAATCGCTAACCGCTGCCATTAGATAAATTGTTGTATTTTACTTCTGGATATATCAGGAAGGCGATTTCTATTCCTATCGGTTTGCATTCACCTGCGTGTTCAATTATTTTATGTCGATGCTAGAGGAATTTAAGCTTCCAGAAATGTTAAGTAGAAGCAGAGAGAAGTCTATTTGGTTTATTTTTCATCTAGATTACGATAGCGCCAAAAGCTGACACACAAAAGGTGTCCCAACATTCAGAGATGCTTCCGGGCACAGATTTAGTAACAGTGTCGATCACAGCAAGATTCACACACTGCCGTACGGAATGATTGTTTGTTGGGGCCGCAGCGACAAAGCCGTTTTTGGGCGCTTCTGTTATTGGAGTCTGGCAAGCGCGCGCGCTTTCTGCCGCGTCAAAGCGACACGAGAGCCTTCGGGAAGAAAGCGCTTAAAGCCCGTGCTGTGTGTAATTACGGGCTGATATCGGGTCGTGGGGGGTTGTCGTTCCCGCAGGAGGAGAGCGGGGCGGGGC